CCTGCAAACAAAACGGAAACATTTCATTCTGGAATATTTCTGAAGCCTCCCCCTCCCTCCTCTTTCTTTTTTGTCCCAGACTCTTTGCCGACATCAAGCTGAATTCTCAGACTGGTTTGGTCATCCCACAACCGCATTGTTTCACGCCTAAGAAACTAGCCTGCCCCTTCTGGCCTGGGGTGCAAACTCCACACCATCGACGGACGTCTTGGGAGGAAGTTTAGACGCCCACTTGTCCTAACATAGTGAGGCCTGATGGCGCCAATCAATCCTCACAGAGAGCTCCCCTCTGCCCCCATTCAAGGCGGGACTGGCCCTTTGGCAGAATGTTGCTCGTTTCCCGTATTCTTCTGTGGGCTGCTCCTGTTAGCGGTGGGTGTCAAAGGGACCACAAACAGGATTAATGTTTCCTTAACGCTCCGTCTAGCGGGGTTTGAAATTTCCATTTATCAGCATCAAAATCAAGGCTCAGTCTACACAGCAGCGTTATTTCGGAATACTGGACGTTATTCTGAAACACAGTCCACGTCCACGCAGCAAGCTGTTATTTCGACATAATGTCGAAATAATGTCGAGCAGGAGGACTTCTTACTCTGACGTCTGTATCCCTTATTTCACGAGGAGTAAGGGACGTCGGAGGAAGCTCTAGCTCAGACTTCCTGCTGCATAGGCAGCACCAAAAGCCCAAATAAGCCGTTTCGACTTCAGCGCTGCAATTGACGTAGCTCAAACTGCATGCCTTATTTCGGCTTTCTCCCTGCTGTGTAGACATGCCCCAACAGAGTGGGCAAGGGAGATGAGATGAGGGGCAGGTGGACTCTCCCTGAAGGAATAGGGAGATGGGGGATCCAGGCAATGCAGCCAAACCTGTAGCCATTTGGAGTAATCTTGGTCACGGGAGCGCCTCCTCGTTCCAGCCGGGATCGGCCAAAATGCTCGTGTACGTGCTTATTGCTCCCAGTCCAGTGCCACAAGGTGGGGAGTACCAACACCTCTGACAGCTCCCTGGGAGATCAGCCATGTCAACCCCTACTGGCAGCCTTCCCTAGCGGTGGTGCTCTGTCAGGCCCCTGCTGGCATGGCTGAGGCAGGCTGCGGGTGGGAGATGCTGAACCCTGGCAGCGAAGGGCGAGCTGGAACAGCAGGGGCTCACCGATCTCTGTGCCCAGCTCACTATGCCCCAGAGATCTAGTTCCGAAAGACCTTTTCCAACATCCAGCTCGTGCAGCCTCGTGCCAGTTTGTCTTACGCAGACCACTTCTCCCAGCAAGCCACAGCAGGGCCCTGGTTCCATGCACTGGGCTACCCAGAGACTAATCTACAGGCTCTCTCGTGCCTGTTCCCCAGACGTCCCATCCCCGGAGCGTGTGCCCTGCCGTGTGTCACAGATTGTCAAGACGAGCCCTGGAAGGTCAGCCTCCATGCGTGTATTTTATCAGCGTGCCTCACCTTCCAGCAGGCCTGGCGCCCGGGGCCGCTAGCAGTGTTCTCTGTAAGCCGTGCGCTTGCTTGGCTGCTCAAGAGAGATCCTAATGCTGCCCAGCTGATTAGCACAGCGGTCAAAACGGTTTGGGTTTCTGCTGCTGGTGAACATTCACACGGTTGGTGCACACAACAAAATTTATTCCACACATGGATGGGGGGGAATCCACACATAGATGGCAAAGATTAGAGGGAATGTTGGTCACTAGCACAGTTACATAGCAAGTGCAGCACCTGCACAGTATGTCAAGCAGGATTCTCCAAGGGACAGCAACAAACTGGCACCCCAGGGGGGCTGGGAATGGCAGTTTCATTATTTCCGATGTCAGTACACACTTCAGGACAGACAGCCCCGTTAGCCCGTCTTTGCCTTTTCTGTGGCACATAACGCGCCAATCACAACTTCGCTAAGAGCTGCGGGGCCCCAGCCCAGGACAGGATCCGACTAGTCGTGGGATATTCCACACAGACACGCAGCACCAGCAGGAGAGAAACTGCACCTCAAGCAAAGCCGTTGATTTCCTTTTCCACCCTGCAATTATTCTCTACCAGGAGAATTAAACGTGTTCTCCTTTTACTTTCCTGCCAATGCCCCCGCCCCTTATAATGGGGTTCACCTCACTCCCTCTGATCCCAGCTTCCAGCACTGGTACGCACAGTTTGTGGCCGTGCAACTCCTACGCTGCACAGGGGAAGGAGGGAGGTAGGATGTTGTTGATTTCCTTTTCCACCCTGCAATTATTCTCTACCAGGAGAATTAAACGTGTTCTCCTTTTACTTTCCTGCCAATGCCCCCGCCCCTTATAATGGGGTTCACCTCACTCCCTCTGATCCCAGCTTCCAGCACTGGTACGCACAGTTTGTGGCCGTGCAACTCCTACGCTGCACAGGGGAAGGAGGGAGGTAGGATGTTGGGGGGGTGGGGTGGAAGGGTTGATGTTCGCTCATTTATATTTAAAGAAAAAAAAATGAGTCTATCCTGGACATGGAATACGGAACATAATCCGAAATGCTTTCATTTACACAGAACGTCTGATTTGTTTCCCATGATCTGCAATTGCCTGGCTTCTGTCAGACTTTATAACCAGGATCCTGCGGGCTCAGAGTTCTGGCTCGTTACACGCAGGGCACTGTCCAGTTATGCGTTTTTCTCGCTGCGCTACAAGCCATGGGCCGAATCCCGCGAGGGAAAGCTTCAAACCCCCGCTGAAAGCAAGCCGTCCTGTGCAGGGTCAAGCCCTCCCATACCTACTCAGATTCTCGCCATCTGGAACAAGCACGCCCCATTCGTATCCTTTGCCAGAACACTTTGCTACGGACACACAACTCGAGGGAGTCATGGGGCCGTTTCAAAACAAACACTACTGTTTTAATGACACTGGAAATGGGAGCAGTTCAACGTGTGTTGGACAGGGACGTGGTTTCCACGTGGGATCCCTGATCAGCCTGTGACTCATATTTTTAGTGTCAGACAAAGCTGAGTGCCAGATACGCTGGGCTCCCAGGACTCAGAGTGACCGGGACCACAGATGACAAGCCGCTGACTTGCTACATAGTAAGGCTCTTGTGTTTGCCCCCACCTGTGTGGGATCTAAGAGCAGCGGACGGTGCAGTTTTGAAGCGCGCAGTATGCCCCAGCTAGAGAGTTACTGTGTTGTGCATCAGTACAAACACATTTACCTAGAATGGGATGGAAAGGACCTCCCGACGTGTCTGTCCAAGCCGGTACTATGCCAGGCAGCCCCCCCCCAAAAAATCCTGAACCCCCTCCCATGCCCCTTGCTCCTCGGTCCAGCCCAAAGCCCCCTCCTGTACCAAAGCCCCCCGTGTGATCCCATTACTACGTTTATCAAGTTCCGTCTTCAAACCAATGAGCTGGTTTGCCTGCATCATACCAATGGGAGGCTGCACCAAGAGGTGGGAACCTTCCCGTTTCCCGCCTGAATTTCAACCCGGCAAGCCTCTGCCATTTCCCCACATGCATGGCTAGCTGGCCGGTTCGCTCTCCTGGCCGTCATTCCCTGCTCTCCAGAGAGTCCAAGGGCCTCATGATGTCGATATTAGGGTGCCAGGCATCCGATTTTCAATCACCACGTCTGGTCACAAAGGGACCCTGGCAGCTCTGGTCAGCGGTGACAACCCGGCCATAAAACATCTGAGCAGTGGCACAGCAGGGAACAGCTCCATGCGGTTTCCAGAAGTGGACGGCGTGTCCCCGCTCTGGCTCGTAAATAGCCGGGGGGCTCTGCATGCATGCCCTGACCCCGCAGCTCCCATTGGCTGGGAACCACAGCCAATGGGAGCCCCAGGAGCTGCCCCTGCCAACGGGGCAGCTCCTGGAGACACCTGGCCATGCATCTGGCTAGAAGCTAGGGGTAGGGAGCAGGTTGGTCACTTCCAGGAGCCGCCGGAGGTAAGTGTTGCCAGGAGCCTGCACCCCCACCTGTGCCCCTACCTCCTGCCCCAGACCTGAACCCCCTCCCATCCGCCTCACTCCTCAGCCCAAAGCCCCCACCTGCACCAAAGCCCCTCAGCTCCAGCCTCACCCAAGAGCCACGCCCCTAGCCAGAGCCCTCATGCTCCCCCACACGCCGAATCCCCCCAGCCCTTCACCCCCATCATCCCTAGCCCCACCCTACAGCTGCACCCCCAGACAAAGTCTCACCCCCCCCCCAACCACATCCCAGGTCGGTTTTCCGCTGTCAGAAAACTGAAAGTCCTCGTGATGTGACTGCACCTCCTTCGCGACCCGCTGTTAATTAGAAGGGGGAAGACCTGGAAGAAGAACTCACCTCCAGGACCGGCCTAAGACCAGAGCTGCCAGGATTATCCAGAGAGACTGAGCTTGCCTGGCCAGCAGGGGAAATCTGCCTGCCTGTATCAGGGCTGGTGAGCGTGACACTGTGTGCTTAGCATGTGTAGGGTCATCTGAAGAAGTGGGCTGTGCCCATGAAAGCTCATGACACCATCGACATGTTTTGTTAGTCTATAAAGTGCTACCAGACCATTTGTTGTTACCTGTGTAATTGGCTGCTGAGAGCAGAAGGCAGTTAAGTGTCAGAAAAATAGCCCCATCTTTCAAAGCTCCATGCCTGGGAAGTGACGCACCATGCCAGAACCGATGAAAAGACCAGTGAGGACCGACAATGCCCCGCCCCCGCGCGTCCCATTTCCCTCTGCTCCTACGCAACATAGGCACAGATGACCCCTGGGCCGCTGTGCTCATTTGAATGAGGGAAATATTAACAGGCAGTCTGCTTGCTTGGGAATTGTCAATACATCGAGGATACGAATATTACTGAGGGAAGCTCTTTCAGCGGCTAAAGAACCAGCAAACCCGCAGGAAATTCCACCCTGAGCCCTAGGCACTGGGGACGGGTGAGTGTGTAAATTAACAGGGTTGTACCTTGCGCCCTGGGAGTGTGTCCCCCTACAGTGTGGAAGGGATAGAGGAATGTGTGCAGGTAACAAAGATGAGGAACGGCTGGGACATTATCAACCTAACATTCAATGAAGGTGCACACAGCTGTTTGTGTAGATTCTTGCATTAGTACCCTTCCTATCTAATTGCCTTTGAGCCTTATCTGCTTCGTTTTAACTATCCCATCTTCAGGTGCTCACTGATTGCCAGTTCTGCCTTCCTAAAATAAAATAAATGAATGGAGATGCCTGTCTCCTAGAACGGGAAGGGACCCTGAAAGGTCATTGAGTCCAGTCCCCTGCCTTCACAGCAGGACCAAGTACCATCCCTGATGAATTTTGCCCCAAATCACTAAATGGCCTCTGCAAGGATTGAACTCACAACCCTGGGTTTACCAGGCCAATGCTCAAACCACTGAGCTCTCCCTCCACCATTTTTATCATATTTATCCTTCTTATTTTTCCCTTTGATATTTTCATACCCTCTTCTCCTTGTTTCCCACCCCCCTTCTTTTTTTCCTTCCCCCTTCTACCTTCTGCCCTATTTATTTGGGGTCTGCACATCCTAAACTCAAAACTCCAGTCATCTAAAGAAGTGGGCAGTACCCACAAAAGCTCATGATACCAGTTACATGTTTGTAGTCTATAAAGTGCTACCAGACCATTTGTTGTTTTTTAAGTTTATTCTGTGTAATACAGTAATTGAGGTTTTTTTCCTCATTCAAATGAAGTAAAAAACCTTGTTGCTCAAGTAGACTGACATGTATGTGATAGTGCCTTATATGTTTACATCATTTGGCCCTCCTTTGCCAATAGTGGATCCTTCTGGGCCTTCAGTGGCACTGACTGGTAGGAAAGACAACAATTTTCCCCAGGCCTTTAACCCAAACTTAAGCCTACACAGTAATATCTCCTAGGACATTGATCCAAGGTTACCCTCAATCTATTGTGACAAAGTCAGGCCAGACAGACTCAAGAGGGTCCAGGACAGCCCATGCACATCAGCCCTAGAATGTTAAAAGCCCTTTTTTCCTTCAAGCTGAGAAGAGCTTACGGGCGCAAGCCACACGTTCCTCGCCACCGAGTTCCAGGCATGCAATGTGCACCTAAGTGCTCCCAAGTCCTGATCCAAATTTGGCTTTGAAGCTTGAATCCAGAGAAACCGCTCCCTGCTTATCTCACTCACTCAGCACGCGGATGCAAACACGGGCCGGGGAGATATTTTTACAAAACCCTCTCTGCACAGGGCACACCCACATCTCCAAGGGCAGGAGCCAGCCTCATGTTTGCTATTGAGTTCGCACTGAAACAGTTCAGCCTGACAGTTGAACTTGCAGGGTTTGCAGGCGGGTTTCTGCAAGTGGCATTCCCCTCCGGCATCACCTCTCTTGGACAAGGGTGTGCGTTTGTTCCGGCAAAGATGGGCCTAAGGTGAACCAGGTTTGCCTTCCGTTGCAGAGTGGCTATCATTACCTTTACTAACACTGGCTGCAGGTGGACACAACCAGAGTTAAAACACAATAGTGCGCACGGGATGATTTAAATACAAGAGAAGAATTTTAGCTGTTAATTATTAACTTTTATGATTTAATCAGTAGAGAGAATTGTTCAACTATGAAACCAGTGACTGAGCCGTCCTGCAGAATCACCACGAAAGGTAATAACGTTAGAAATGCCAAAACCTTGTAGACAGAATGGCAAGGACTTTGTATTATTCTGTCATTTATTATTTGGGGCCCAACACAGCAAAGCAGTTCAACAAATGAAGTTTTAAGTGAATGCTTAAGTTTAGCTGAAGTCACCTTCACACAGACTTAATCATGTACTAAGGTGTTTTGTTGAACCCAGAGTCCAAGATGGCTGCATTTTAGTGGTGTGTGTGTGTCTGCTTGGGAAAGTTTGTGAGTGTATTT